GTAAGTGCTTATTAGCTAAAATCCCAATCGGAATGTTCCGGAAAATGTCACATTACATGTCTAATGATCTCTCATTTCTCCGAGACAAAATAATCTGTGATTCGAACTGTGTACTTCTCAGATTATTGCTAAAGTCCTAGCGAGTAACCTTTATTGTCTTACCAAAATGTCGCCAAACTACCTGTTACCATATTCCAAAGATTAGCCCCAAAGTTAAATGCAAAAACTTAAAATTTTTTTTTAAAAAGTGATCGAAGGTATCCCCTTAAACTGAAGAACATTTGCATACATATTTCCTTTCATCATCAATTAGGTTACGAAGCTGCTACTCATAATTACTTAACAGAATTAAATTACGAATAGGGCACGTCCTCGAAATTTTAGTATACGCATAAAGTCTCAAATGTGTCTCATTATGTACACCTGTCATCAAAATATATGACCGAAGACAGATTCCAAGAGCCATCCTTCATCTCCAAATATCATCTACAGGTATCCCTCTCAAACAGAGCAGGGACATGTGTGATGGCACCAACAGGAGCACCAGATCGTTTTTGGAAATTACGTTAATAATGCTTTTAACTTATCCAATTACTAGCCACTACGCTGATAGCTTTCGTCTGACTTTTAAGTTTACCGTAAACATGTCTCAAGGAAACACCAAACGTTAAACTTAAAAATTGCACAGAATTTTACTCTGCAGAATAACTTTTACTCTGCAGAAAAAAAAAAAATAAATAAAAATGGATCACATATTAAAAAAATTACAATCAAATAAGCAACATCCTTTAATACAAATATTAATTATCCTAATAAATAAATTACTCAACTTCCCGTTGCAAAATCGTAAGTCAAATGGTATAAAGGAAGATAAAAACTTTGTTTCCTAAAACGGGTAAAATCCTAGTATACGTTGCAGCCTTGGCGCGATTTTGAAAATTATCGCCAACTCCAAAAATGATCCAAAGAACATCTATATATTATACACTATATACTATGTGTGTATGTACATAATATGTACTATATATAAGTATAGGGTGGCCCAGAAGTCACTTTACATTTTGAAAATTAAATAACTTTTTTTCTATTAATATATTTCTTTTTCTCTTTTCAGAATTAAAAAATATAATCCCTGGAAATTTTTGGCATGGATAAGTTTACAACAGAACAACGAGTGAAGATAATTGAATTTTACTTTGAAAATGGACGGTCAATTGTTGCAACGCAATATATGCGCCATTTTAATGTTCGACATCCCCCTAGTAGGCCTGCAATAAGGAACTTGGTGACGCGTTTTCAAGGTTCAATTAGTGCAATCTTTAAAACCAGCAGACTTTCAGAAACGAGTAAATTATGCTGTCAGGTTTCAGAGAACTGCAAGAAATGACAATGAGTTTATTCACAAGTTGATCATGGGAGATGAAGCTCATTTCCATTTGAATGGACATGTGAATAAGCAAAAAAGGTACTATTCCGTTTTGAGGACCGTAAAAAAATTGTAGCGAAAATGTGTGCGCAAAAGCGCCAAATTTAGCAAACGCGCCCATTTAACAACGCGCCAAATCTAGCGTACGCGCTCATTTCAGATTGCCTAAGTTTATATATAGTTCTATATTTATTAAGACGCCATTGAAATACTAGTTTAATTTTTAAATCCTTTTTTTGGTTTTAAATTCTTTTTTGATATCCTTTGGATTTAAAAATTTGGGAATTGCCCATGACGAAAAGTGTGCAATAGAATTTTGTGTAAAGTGCAGAATCACCCACTGTTTGAGGCGTTTTTAAGAATTGCACATACTCGGTGTCCATATACACATCGACCTATTTTCACTTCAAAAACAATTCCAGAATTATACAAAAATGGCACTGCGCACACACTTGACTTTATCTATGTACGCATCGACGTATTTTCACTTAAAAAGTAAAAGAAAATTGACTAAAATCCAATTGTTTTTACCCTTGTAAAAAGCGGCAAACAAATAAGTGGATGATTCTGCACTTTACCGAGAATTTTTTCAAAGAAAAGGCATCATTCATTATAAGAAATTATGTTTGAACAACCAATGAGATGAAACTATGCTTTAGCGATAACTTGCTAGCGAAATAGCGATGCAGGCATCCATTCAATTATGTTTAGCAATTTTTATATTAATTCTAATAATGATCTAAAATAGTTATTTACTCTTATGCTTCCAATCAGTCATGTTTAGCCTTTTTTATATAAATTATAATAATAAAAAAGTATTTTATGAAATTAACCTTTCATCTAAATTAAAACATTAATCTTAGTTATTTATTATTATACTTCCTTTCTTGCGTTATGGTTGCCGCAATTATTTTTGGCAGCACTGGCATCAACAATAGTTTGGCGATTTCTTACGGCCTTCAAAACCGAATAGTACCGCAAAAAATTAAAAAGAATTAATTAAATACAGTCATTTAAGAAAAGGTTATTTAATTTTCAAAATGTAAAGTGACTTCTGGGCCACCCTTTATATATATTTTTTGAATGACCCGTTTACTACTCATCATATATGTCCCGTTTTTACTGCTCATCATAAAATCGCCAAAAGTAGCCAAATCCCGTGTGCACCGGATACTAGGATTAAACCCTAAAACGAAATCATGCAAAACTTTTTATGTAATTAAAATTATATATAATTAAAACGTAATGTAAAAAATTACAATGAAATAAGCAACAAATCTCTTAGTTTCAATAGAAAACAGTCAGCAGTCCAGTATCCAAAGCAATGAATGAAAACCGTTGCCAAAACCACATTTCTAAGATAATGAAACTATCATCACAAAGCAATAACCAATCAAAATTGTGCTTTATGGATGACATAATTCAAAAATATACAAATCTTCGCATCTTATAATATGGTTTCGTTCTTATAAGATTAAAAAATTGTACAAACCCTCGGTACTTTTCCGTTTTGCCGGCGCAGGCGATAAAGTCGCCAATAATGGTACAATTGATGCCAAAGGGAATACCCTCGCTGCTAGCCTTTTACGCCCCATTTTCAAAACAAGTCGCAACCATTTCTTATCAGATTCATTGTTTCTTTAAATACTGGCATACAATTACATAGAATTTTTAACAGATAGTCCAATTTTATGCCCTAAGATCATCTAATGAGAATGCACTAGCGAAATAAAGCACTCCGGTTTTACATAATTTCTGAGTAAGCTATTCGTACGAACAGAAATAATTCTTGCATTTAAACTTGTATTCCAAATTAAGATTTAACTTGAAATTAATGTAGATAATTACTGAGAGAATTAGATTTTTTTAGTGTAGTTTACGTGAGATGAGATCACTTGGAGTCACGTGAATCAGGATGTTGTACCATGAAAGCATAGTAAATTCTTAACTTAATGACTTTTTACAAATTTATTGTCTTTATTTATTGGCTTTTTATAAAATTTAAACGATATTAAAATGTTTATGCCCTCAAAACAAAAAATTCTTAGAACCAACATTTGTTAACATTTTATATGTGTATGCTCTGTGTTGTCGCCAATAAAGTCTGCTTGGCGAGATTTGCGCCGGCGAAACGGAAAAGTACCAAACCCTCTTATAGCACACCAACATGATTTCATTCTAGCAGCACAAATGATGATTATACGGTACCTCTCATACTTTTTTATGTACATTTCCGATAACACGATTTTTATTTTAAACATGTATAAAATTAAGTTATGTACAATACCATCATGTGTGTAATAATAACAGCATATTTATTTATAGCCACAAAAATAAAATAAATTCCGGAAATTATCTCACGTCGGAATTCTCTGGAAATTGAGTCGTGCCCATCATTTATATTGTATGCATTTTGTGATCCAAGTATTCAAATGGTAGATCGGATAAATTACGTGATTGGGATTTGGACGAATATTTTTTAAATAATTTTTGGGTATGTGTTACTAATTTAGTAATTATTGCGAAACTGTTTCCTAATTTAGAAGTAATTATTGCAAAATTATATTTCAGTCCCAAACTGCACGTGAAAGAGAGAAAACTTTTTAAAAGAAAACTTACTTCTTCGCAGATGGAAATATAAATTTTTAATTGTCTGTTGAAATGAGAAAAAGACATCTCTCACGTTGCAAAAATTCTAAATTGAAATAAGGCAAAAACAACAACCATTAAGGGGTATCAGAAGCCCCTATACCGACAATGTAAAATTGGCCATTTTCGATGTACCTTTTCTCAAAATCTGCTGTAGATACAAGCTTGAAATTTTTTTCTGTAATTAAAGTATACCTATATGATTATACTGAAATGAGCTTTTGAAGAATTTCGAATTTTAGAGTAAATTACAGAATATTTTGTTAGGCATAGTAAAATTTAGCACTTTTCTCACACAAAAAAATTAAATTTTTTTTCCAAGTTTATTACAAAAAGCTCATTTCAGTAAATATTAGGGAACCTAATAAATAAGCCATAAAAAGTTTAGATACCTGTGAGCAGTAGTTCCTGAGAAAAGGTACATCGAGTATAAAAAATCACGTTTGGAGAAAAACGCGTTTTTATGTAAAAATCCTCATTGATCAAAGCAGTAGATGACAAATTAAAACTAGATTTTTTTACAGTTCTAATTTTCATAGAGATTAAAGAATGGTATTTTTAGAAAGATAAAAGTGTATAGAATTTAAAAATGTAAAAAATCCGAAATCACAATTTTTTGAAGATTTTAGGGTTCCAACACCCCTTAAAAAAATATTTTGATTTTAAAAGTTTTCATAACGCATTCCTCTACATTGTATTGTTTTACTCCTGTATAACACAATTTCACGCAACACGATATTTATAGGGGGCCTATCTATCGCAAGTTTTGCGAAAATATGTCAAAGACTTTTGCCCATGCCATTAATTCCGTTCGTATGAAACAACCGCTGTTTTCCTTTTTGTCATAAAAATAGGTGCACAGCAGTGTGTATCTGCTTTTTGGAAATGGTGCCTTTCCTAAATTTCTAGAATTAAGAAAGCTCACCTGAAATCCAAATGCGATGTGGGACGACTTGTTGCTTCCCCCTAATGCCGGCAAAGAAGTACGTCGCACCTTGTAGACACAATACAAGTTGTTGTTAGAGGTTCGCCGCCTTCTAGGTGTAGACAGTTTCAGATCCGATAATATCTGTACCAGTAGCAAAGTCTCCATGTACTTCGCAGCCACCAGGCCAACCAGTGCACTGGCATAACACAGCACAGCTCTTGCGGGATCAAGAATCCACCAAAGACAAGCCCACAGAAACAGTCTGCAAGCCGCATGCAAGAAGAGGGTTGGCTCCAAGCCGATGAACAAGCTGGGCAAAAGAATGAAACCCGTGTGGATGATGGTTCGGCACCCGAATCCATCAACTGCAAGACCGCTAACAATCTCCCCAAATATGCTTGCACATAAGCAAGCGTGGGTCAACTCCGGGGTCAGGCGATTCCGATGCAGGATGGCGTACCAAAAGTGGGCTCCCGCTACGACAGCAAAAGGGAGAGCTATGCCTACCAGGCGGGAGACATCCAAGCAACATGCTAGCAGGCAAAAAACGGAAGCTAGCGTTATGCGTAACGGCAATCGTCGAATGGGCTTTAAGAACGGATCAAGAACTGGATTTTCATGAATTATTTCTGGTATTCTGGCGGCGTATCCGTTATTGGGCTTGTTGGTCATGTCCCAGAAAGTCACATTTAATTTATGAGGTGTGGACATTACTCACTCAACCCCATCCGTACCTAAGTTGACTCAGAACAAAACGAAGAGAACTTTCTCTTTTGTTTATGTCGATAAATACGATCGTAAGTACTCCGTATCAGCAGCACTCACCACTCGCAGCCGAGAGCTAACTCGTGCGCGTCACTACCACTCAAGATGCGAGGTCCTCGTGGCGCGTAGCATGCTGGGAGAAGCAGATAAATGCGCAGTTCTGATTGGTCAGCGGCGGCGCTACGCACGATCTAAGGAAAATACTTCGGATGCTTTTGACACATGTTGCGCGTGAAGAAAAGGGACGGGGGGGGCAGAAAAATAGATTAATCTGACTGTCATTGAATGTGACGGAAGAATATCTTATTTTTCCCTTCGCTTTTTATAACCGCTATTTTAATTTGGCTATCGATTAATTAGTTTCGTACTGCAGCTAATGCGTTTTCGAATTTTAATCATCATCTGTAATGATTATCCTGCAAAATGTTTCGGTCGTTTGTTTTTTTATTAATAAATTATTCATGTAAAAAAAAATCTTATACAGTATATCCTCGATTATCGGATAATCCAAACTGTTCATTATTTACTAAATTTTCATGTATATTGTACATGTTTATTTCTTCAAAAATTTAGTAGTTTTATTTTCTTTTTGAGAATGCTTAAAAGTTTTTCAAATTTCACTGCGTTATTTTTTAGCTCAAAGGGGCAATTTGCCCAGAAGGGCTATTAATTGCGTTTTAGCATTTCGCGTCGTCCACTACAAAACGGCCCTTTTCAAATTGTTGCCACCAAATATTAGAGCCCTGCATTATATTAAAAAGAAAAAACTAAATAATGAAGTATCTGCATAAATGTATGTATGTTTCTCTCATTGTGATAAAACAACGGTACCTAAAGACATCAAATTTTGAGTAACGTAGTCCTCCACACGCATATGGGCATATGGAAGCCCAAATTTAAAATATTGAGTTTTTTATTATCTATTTCATAGTTTGTAAAACATTAATGAATTTTTTATTAACAAACTCAACGATTTCAAAGCGAACAATAGCAAGCAACACTGTACGGAAAAAGAAATATTTTTATCTACAGCGCGCGAGACTGTGTATCGGAAATTCTAAACAATATGCTCTTTTTAAATATTTCGCGATACTGCTGTTGAATTCAATTTCATGGTTTAAGTGCGAAGAACATGATATTTAATATATAAAAGTAAAACATAAAATGTTAAAAAGAAGCCCCTTTATGCTTCTATCCGTTCCGTATAAACGGCAAAATCACTTTTCAAAATGTTGCCACCAAATGTTATCGTCCTAGGTTATTTTTAAAGAAATTAAATAATGAGGAATCTGCATGAATATATGTATGTTTCTCGTACTGTGAGAAACGACGATATCTAAAGCCGTCAAATTTTGAATAACGTAGTTTTTCGCCGAAACGTCAGCACATGGAAGAATTTCAAACTTTTATCATCCACTTCCTATTTTGTGACTTTAACGATGTTTTGATAATCAAACTCAACGATTTGAAAACGATCTGTGGCAACACTTTACAAAATAAAATACTTTTATTCAAGCCACAAGCGACTGTCTATCGGAAATTTAAAGATATGTTGTTTTTAAATATTTTGTGATTTTTTTCCCGTTGAATTGAATTTTATTTGGCGTAAGCGTGAAGAACATGATAGTTAATAAATACAAATAACACGCAAAACGTTAATAATAAGAAAACAAAAACATTTTTTGTAAGCCGCCATCTTAATAAGAAAACTGAACATCGATATCATGAAGAGAGAAAAGTCTGCAAAAAATATAAAAATGTATCCCAACATTTAATAAAATTCTAAACACATTCTAACAAATCAAAAATTCTGAACACATGCCGCTTTTAAAATTTTTGTAATTTTCCTGTTGAACTTGATATGGCTTAAGTGAGAAGAAAATAATCCACGAAAGCATCCTCCCCTTAGACAGATAGCCGTAGCGTGCTTTGTCGTAATTAACCCTTTGTGGCACAGTGTGTCCAGTCTGAACACACCTAAAAATTTCCTTCTGTACGCACAGAAAAAATTGAATGAAAAAGGATTTATAGGTTACTCTGAATCTTCTTTATTTATACTAGATGGCAGCTCAACACAAACCAGTCCATATATTTTTGCCATGTTTAGTTTTTTAAGACCCTCATTTTTCAAAGAAAACCTTCCAGATTTTTTTAGGGTGTAAAAGGAATTGTTTGAAAAGAAATTTCTATGTTATTTTTTGACTGTATGCTAATCTCCTTAGTCTATATTAGTTTTAAATTTTCACCTTGAAATCTTGCCTAAAATCAAACGGCGAACCCTAGGTGTGCCCAGACGGGGCTCACCGACAATCTAGGACAACTGAGAGTCTGTATTCTTCGTTTCTCCGCATTTCATCGATCAGTTAATTGACACCAACGCTCGTTTCAGCACTCATTTCGAAGCTCTATTCAATCAGTGGGCCCACTTTGGACACACCCACAGAATTAAAACAATAAGTGCTATATTCACAAAATTTTACTTGTGTACTGCACTAGGCCTAATTAGACGCCTACCTGTTTTTTTTATCAAAACTCCGATTAATATGCTATAAAGTGACCTTATTAAATAAAGCTCTCTATACTGAAATAATACACGGCATCTGTATAAATTTCTAATGTTTTATTTGAATCAAGAACTTACCAATACCAGGGCTGAAATTAAAGCTTGTTTAATATCTTTAAATTCTTTGATTGCATCTTCAGACCACCTGAATCTGAACCTTTTTTGCTTTTTAACTGTAAGAGGTAGGTATGTTCGAAAAATTTTGGTACTTTTACATTTCGCCGGCGCAAGAGATAAAGTCGCCAAAACAAAGTGTCACAATTTTAATTTTATGTTTTATGTTTTGTGCCAAACGAAATTTTCTCGCTGGTAAACGTTTTACTCCTCATTTTCAAAACAAGTCGCAGCCATTTCTGATCACATTGATTGTTGTTTTCAATACTGGCATACAATTACATAGAATTTTTACCAGATAGTTCAATTTTATGCCCGAAGGTCATTCGTAGTAATTAGGATGCAATCATACCGCTAACCCGAAGGCGAAAATATAAAAAGGGCAAAGTCAAGGGTTAAATTCATCAATTCTAATGAGAATGCACTATTGAAGTAAAGCATAATTTCTGAGTAAGCTATTTGTACGAATTGAAACAATTCTTGATTTAAACTTGTATTCCAAATTAAGATTTAACTTGAAATTAATGTAGATAATTACTGAGAGAATTAGATTTTTGTAGCGTAATTTGCGTGAAATGAGATCACTCGAGGTCACGTGATGTGAACCGGCGAATCAGGATGTTGTACCATAAAAGCATAGTAAATTCTTAAATTAATGTCTTTTTACAAATTCTTATCGTCTTTTTACAAAATTTTAAACGATATTAAAATATTTATGCCTTCAAAATAAAAATTTCATAGAACTAACATTTTTTATGTGTAACTCTCTGTTGTCGCCAGTAAAGTCTGCTTGGCGAGATTTGCGCCGGCGAAACGGAAAAGTACCAAAATTTTTTATCAATGTTCTTGCAGCACGAACAAGATCCGAGAAAAGTTTGGTTTGGTTTGGTTTGGTTTGGTTTATAAGATTACGGCAAAACATTCGAGGGCTATCTGCCTTAAGGTAGGGATGCCTTCGTGGAGGTCTTTTTAAAGGAAACTGGCTCGTATACACGTTACACATATGGGGAAAACCACGAAAACACCCATGCAGGCAGCCCGTTCGCGGGATCCGAATCTCGAAACCGAACTACCAGTGTTCATCGACGTTACCGCTCGACCGCTGGTGGGCGATCCGAGAAACGAAGCTAGCATTTTTGCGGAGTTTGGCGTCGGGAAATTCTTAAACAGCAAGCATTTTTACTCGTCGCTTTTTATTCCCTCTTATGTTATTTTAAACCTCTTATATCTTAATTCTTTGCAGACAGATTTACATTTTCTACATTTGCTTTTAACTCCGCTTCTTTTAGTAGCGAAAACTGAGATTTTTAACGTGTTCTTCTAATGATTCCGGTGTTACTATTATGTCATTCAAATGAATAAAACAATTTTTACTCAATACTGGCCTTCATATGATGCCCATGGACCCGCTAGTGGTTTTCCCCATGTGTAACGTGTATACGAGCCAGTTTCCCTTAGAAAGTCCTCCACGAAGGCATCCCTCCCTTTAGGCAGATAGCCCTAGTGTGCTTTGCCATAATCACACACACACACACATGGACCCGCTAGAATGTTACTGGATTACCATTTCCGCTGACATTCAGCTTACCCGTTTGATTTTGTAATTAAAGCTGTAACCACATCTTCGGATTTAACTGCTATTTGAAAATACCTTTGAAGTACTTTTGCGACTGTCATGTTCTTCGTACCTTTTATTTTTCTAATTAACCCAAAGGGACAATAAGCTCAGAAGGGCTATCATCTTCCTCTTAGCATTTTCCGTTGGTTTACTATTAACGGCGTTTCACTTTTCAATTGTTGCCACCAAATATTATCGCTCTGTACCACATTTCAAGAAATTATATAATGCAGAATCTGCTTAAATGTATGTATGTTTTTCGCATTGTGAAAAAAAACAAAGGTACCTAGAGCCATCAAAATGTGAATAGCGTAGTCCCTCCACCCAAATATGGAAGCCCGAATCTTGAATTTCGAGTTTGTTTTGTTACCTATTTCATGTTTTTGTAAGCTTAAACGAATTTTTGGTTAAGAAATTCAACAATCTGAGAGCTAGCATTGGCCACACTCCGTACAGAATAAAATATTATTTATTACCTCCAGCGCGCGAGACTGTCTATCGGAAATTCTAAAGATATGCTGTTTTTAAATATTTTTAGCCCAAATGCTCTCGAAACGTCTATGTGTGTGTAAATTTAAAAAAATTATCCCTTTGGGCGTAATATAAAATATGAAAGCCTTCAGATTTTATGATATCTTCTGCAATCGGTAATCCGTCACTAGATAATCATTCTTTTTTCTACGTAATACGACTGGACTTGCGTATGGACTTGAGACTGGCATAATTATTTTATTTTCCAGCAT